TTTTTTTTTTTTTTTTGAGACAGGGTTGCTCTGTGTAATAGTCCTAGCTGTCCTGGAACTCACTTTGTAGGCCAGGCTGGCCTTGAACTCACTGAGATCCACCTGCCTCTGCCTCTTAATGCTGGGATTGAAGGCATGCACCACCACCGCCCAGCTTAGTCATGTTCTCTTGAGTCTCAACTATATGTGGAGCCAGTTCTTTAGTATTATCATAAGCCACTGTACTTCACAAAAATTCTTGAAGGAATCATAATCCTACTTTTTTTTTATTATAAAAAAATGGTAGTGCCAGGTTGGGAAAACGGCTCAGTGGGTAAAGTTATGCTGATCAAATGTGAGGGCCTGAGTCAAATCTCCAGGACATGTGTAAATCCAGGCACAGGCACAGGCACAGGCACTTGTAATACGAGGCTCCAGCAGTGAGGTAGTTCAGGAGACTGGAGAGTGCTACAAGCTCATGGGCCACTCACCTGTTGTATGCATCTGAGAACCAGAAACACACCCTGTCTCAAATGAGGTGTAATTGAAAGGTGGGGACTGACCTTCGTTCTCTGACCTCCACATGACACATATGCACTCCCAACACCCCCCCTCACAACACACACACACACACACACACACACACACACACAGTGTAGTGCGTAATATATCAAACTGCAATCCTTTCCTTGGGAATATCTAGTTCCATATAAGCCTTTGAGTACATATTCTAATATTTCTTTCCAATATGTTGTTAATGTTAAAAAAGAAAAATGAGAAAGGGGATAGAAGAATAAGGAGAAACAAATTATTTATTAAAAATAGGTTTATAAAAGTCCTTGGCTTAAAACAATCAGAACGAGGGCCTGCGAGATCACTCAACAGGTAAAGGTGCTTGCAGGGTACGCCTCATGACCTGAGTTCCACACCCAGGACCCACAGTGGGAGGAGAGGATGGACTCCCAAAAGTTGACCTCTGACCTCCACATATACACTGCGGCACACATGTACCTGCACACACACACCAACAACAGTAAAATAAAATGTAAGGGTTGGGAAGTAGCACAGTGGCAGAACACCTGTCTGATACAGGCAAGGCCTTGGGTTCAATTCCCAGCACGCCTAAAACCAACCAACCAACCAATCAACCGACCAAACCTGCTGTTTAAAGGAAAGACTTTAAGAATGTCATGAGATTGCTCAGTGGGTAAAGGGGCTTGCTGACAAGTCTGACATCTTGATTTTGATCCCCAAGAGCTCTATGGTGGAGCCAACTCCCATCTGCTGTCCTCTGGCCTCTACGTGCTTCCCACTCCTTGTTCCATGACCCTCCTCTCTCTCTCTCTCTCTCTCTCTCTCTCTCTCTCTCTCTCTCTCTCTCTCTCTCTCTCTCTCTCTCACACACACATACATACACATATACATACACCACCACATAAATAAGTAAATAAACAAAAATGAACAATGAAAATAAAATTCAGGATCAGGGATCAAGATATTTTGTGTGTGTGAGTGTGTGTGTGTGTGTGTGTGTGTGTGTGTGTGTGTATACTTGTTCATAAGTGTGCATGTATGTGTGGGGCACATATGTGTCTTTGCATGTGTATGTACACGTGAGACCCGAGGTCATTGTTAAGTGTCTTCCTCAACTGCTTCTCCACCGTATTTCTTTCTTTCTTTCTTTTTTCCTGTGAGGAAAGTTTCTCACTGAAGCTGGCTCTCACTGACTGACTGGGAGAGCTGACCAGTGCCCTCCAGAGGTCCCCATCTCTATCCGTCAGTGCTAGGATCACATGCACATGCTGCCACGTTCCACTTTTTAGTGAGGGTTCCGAGGATCCAAAGTCAGGTCCTCATGCTTGCTCAGCAAGCTCTTTACTCAC